TCAAATCTTCCAAAACAAAACAAAGACTCTATGAAAAATACTTAAAAAAAACACTTGAAAATGAAAACAAATACAAAAATTATAAAAACCTATTTGAAAAAATAAAAAAACAAGCAAAAAAAAATTATTATTCTAATTTATTGCAAAACAATATTGGAAATAACAAAAAAACATAGGATGTTATAAAAGAAATAATAGGGAAAAAAAAGATTGACTATTGTAATGCACTGCCTAAACGTTTAAATACTAATGATAAAAACATATTTATCAGTGATAAAAAAGAAATTGCTGACAGCTTTAACAATTATTTTATAAACATTGGAAAGACGTTAGCAAATAAAATAACTCCAAGTAAAAAACTATTAAAATCATACTTAAAAAAAGTAGACTTCACAATGGATGAGTATGACTTATCTCCTGATGAGCTTTGGAATGCTTTTGAAACCATACAGTCCAGAAAAAGTCCTGGTCTTGATGACGTAGATTCTAAAGTTGTTAAAAATGTTTATGACGTTATTGAGTATCCCCTAATGTATATCTTTAATCTCTCATTAAAAAATGGAGTTTTTCCTGACCGCCTAAAATTAGCACGCGTAGTTCCAGTATTTAAAAGCAAAGATGACTCAACTTTATCTAACTATAGACCCATCTCCATACTCCTGTGCTTTTCAAAAATATTGGAGCGCATAATGTATAATAGACTCTTTACATACCTTCAAAATCATAACATCCTCTACAATGACCAATACGGATTTAAAAAAGGCCACTCAACTGAACATGCTGTAATAAAAATAGTTACACCCTTGGAGTATTTATCAAACTTTCAAAGGCTTTTGATACAATGAATCACGAAATCCTTCTATACAAACTTTATAATTATGGTATACAAAATAAAAATTTTAAATGGTTCAGTTGCTATCTAAAAAACCGTAAACAAGCCTTATTTTTCAATAAAACATACACTCCCCTTGAAATCATCACATGTGGTGTTCCCCAGGGGTCTATTCGAGGACCTCTGTATTTCCTAATCTATATAAATGACATATTTTTATCTTCCAGTATATTGAACTTCATTCTTTTTGCAGATGACACTCATGCTTTCTATACCCACTTTAACATTTCTACACTTTTTAATACAGTAAATCAGGAACTTGAAGAGTTGAGCGATTGGTTTAAAGCAAACAAACTTTCTGTCAACATTGAGAAAAGTAACTATATCTTTTTCAAAAAACCTTACAATTCAGACAAACTACCATTAAAACTTCCAGATATTCTATTAGACAAAGTTAGACTAAATCGAGCGTTCTCAATTAAATTTCTCGGGGTATTATTAGATGAACATATTAGCTGGAAAGACCACATTAATATATTAAAAAACAAATTATCTAACAACATTGGAATTATGCATAAAACCAGATTTACTTTAAATAATGCATGCCTTAAAAGTTTTTATTTTGCATATATACATAGCTATAGTAACTACTGCAATATTGCCTGGGCTAGTACCTACCAATCAAAACTAAATTTAATATATAAAAAACAAAAACAAACGTGTCGTATATTAACAAGCGCAAATTAAAATGCCAATTCTAAACATTTAATGAGGGAACTGAGAGTTCTTAATATCTACGAACAAAATATATATTGCATACTTCAGTTCATGTTTAAACTCAAAAATGATCTGGTCCCTGAAGTTTTTCACAACTATTTTCACCTTATTAATCACAAATATCAAACAAAATACTCTATCAAGAACTACTATATTCCGAAAACCTCTTTAAGACAATCTAAATTCTCAATATCCAGCAGAGGACCCCAGAGGACCAATTGTGGAACTCATTTCTGACAAACAAAATAAAAACGATAAACTCATTCCAACATTTTTAATGCGTTGTACAGCAACACCTACTAGACCTCAACATTAATGAAATAATCTCTTATTTTTAAAATTTTTTCTTTTTCAATTTAAATTTTTTTCTTTACTTTTTCTTGAAATTCTATTATATTACTTGCTTGGTTATATAATGAAGTTCATTGTAAAAAAAAATATTGTTTTTTCATTACGGCTTCTTGACAACAGTTGTCAAGAAGCCGTAATGAAAAAACAATATTTTTTTTTACAATGAAAATTTTTAACTTGGTTCCAATAATAAAATCGTTTGCGCTGAAACTTTTTATATAGTAACTATATAAAAAGTATCATTTTAATTAAGTGATTTATATTTAAAAAAAAAAATTTCTAATTTTAAATTATTCTAAATTACTTTAACAAGCTTAGCAATATTATGATTAAATAAACTGCAAAAAATTTTTAACTTGGTTCCGATAATAAAATCGTTTGCGCTGAAACTTTTTATATAGTAACTATATAAAAAGTTTCAGCGCAAACGATTTTATTATTGGAACCAAGTTAAAAATTTTTTGCAGTTTATTTAATCATAATATTGCTAAGCTTGTTAAAGTAATTTAGAATAATTTAAAATTAGAAATTTTTTTTTTTAAATATAAATCACTTATTTAAAATGATTAATGTAATAAATTAATTTTTGTCGAGAAATAAAAACTTTTAGTACAAAGAAAATTTTTTTTCGTTAAATTTTTTATAGTTTGCATTGGGGTAGCAGGAAAAAATTCCCAAGGAAAAAATCCCCCAGAAAAAATTCCCCCGAAATAATCCCCCGAGAAAAAATCCCCCCCGAGAAAAATCCCCCCGGAAAAAATCCCCCCGAGAAAAATTCCCTTCGGAAAAAATCCCCTCGAGAAAAAAATCCCCCCGGAAAATACCCCCCCAAAAAAAAACTTTAAATAAATTAGTTACATTTATTTATTTTAAATAGTTTTATAAAATGCTTCATTTTTCATCAAAATGTAAAGTTATGCGCTATTCCTCGGTTGTCGATAAAAATAATAATATGAAAAAACTCTCTAATTCCTAATATTCTATTTTAAAGCTTTATTTAAAATAATTTTTTTATTTTTGAACTGTAAAACATGCGTAGAATGTTACTACATTGACTATCTTATAGCCTGACTCGCAACGGAGTGCTGCTACATCGACTTACAAATAGCCTGACTCGCAACGGAGTGCTGCTACATCGACTGACAAATAGCCTTACTCGCAACGGAGTGCTGCTGCATTAACTGAGTGTTTGGGCTGGGTAGACAGTCTATCACATAATTAAAAATATATATATATATTTTCATATTGTTTTCGTCTAGTTTCACTTAATTTCCTTTATTTTTTTTTAAATAATTTTTTCGCTTAAAAATCCTTAAAATATACCGCTAAATTAACTACGATGGTCCGCAAAAAAGTTCACATTTTACCAGTTTGCAATTCATCAGGGTTAGGGTTAGGGTTTCACATTCGCTATCTTCGAGCAGTAACGCATAACTTGACATTTTGATGAAAAATGAAGTATTTTATATAAATATTTTAAATAAATAAAGAAATAAACATAACTGCATATTGATAAAAAAAAAATTTTTTTTTGGAGGGATATTTTTTCCAGGGGGATTTTTTCTCGGGGGATTTTTTCCGAGGGTACTTTTCTTGGGGAGATTTTTTCCGAGGGGATTTTTTCTCGGGGAATTATTTCGGGGGGATTTTTTCTGAGGGGATTTTCCCCTAGAACCTGCGTTGTAACGTTTTTGTTTATTAGATTTTGCGGTTTTTTTAGTTATAAATTTCGCGTTTTTTTTAAAAATCACAACAGAACTTTTATATATATATATATATATATATATATATATATATATATATATATATATATATATACACATACATATATATATATATATATATATATATGTATATATATATATATATATATATATATATATATATATATATATACATATATATATATACATATATATATATATATATATATATATATATATATATATATATATATATATATATATATATATATATATATATATATATATATATATATATATATATATATATATATATATATATATATATTTATGTATATATATATATATATATACACATATATATACATATATATATATATATATATATATATATATATATATATATATATATATATATATATATATATATATATATATATACATATATATCTATATCTATATATACAAATATATATATATATATATACATATATATACATATATATATATATATACATATATATATATATATATATATATATATATATATATATATATATATATATATATATATATATATATATATATATATATATATATATATATATATATATATATATATATATATACAATTGCAGCTATTTAGCTAAAAAATGTTATTTGGAAGAAGCAAAAAGTGGATGGCATGGTACCAGTAAAATGGTTTCGATATGATCTAGTCTCAATTGAGTTAGTCGCAGGTAAGTGTTTTAAAAAGTTTTACCGTTTATTTTGGACTAATTTTATAATGTGTTGTGCTGGAAGAACGTTGTTTATTATATATAAAATTAAAATACTCAATAGCATTGCAATTGCAAAAATTGCAAGCCTACTAAGATATTCAGTAGGCTTGCAATTTTTTTTATATATTGTTAAATAATCTGAATAATTTTGTTGTTTTTATTTAGTTTAATGATGAAATTGTTTATACAAAAGATTTGCTCTTTAACTTATGTTAAAGTTGTTATTACCTTGTTAACTTTTGTCTGTCATTAATGAAGCTAGTAAAAAATTGCACATAATGACAACAGATTTATCTTTAGAACTGTTTGCAAACTTTAGGTTTGGATACAAAAGATCAAGTGAAAATGATACTGGAAAGGTACACTTTTTTATATCTAAACATCATTGCAGCTTTCTAGTCTTCATTTTTGTTTATGTATATTTCATCTATGTTGCTAATGATATCGCCAGCTTTTTATGATTTTATGTTGTTAAGTAAAGCATCATTATGTTTCAGGCTAAAATAGAGATTTGATTAATACTTTTATCCAGTTTAAATGAATAACAATTCTCAAGGTGTATTAGCTGAATTATCTTTTTGTTTTGATAGTCTTTAGTCAATAACGGATTTTTAAATTGTTATGAGTTTACAACACTTAAGTTCAGCGAAATTCAATTAAAAAGTCATGTCATAGTCAAGTCATAGAAGACAGAAAAATAACAACATCTGTTTTCAATAACTTGGTTTTCATAGCAAATCTGACAGGTGCAAATTTTTAGCTTAATTTAAATACTACATGATAAAATACATCTTTGGTCGTAAATTTCTTTAGCACACTCATTTTTATATATTTTTAGACTGTTTACTCTTGTCCCAATCTAACCTAGTGAGTTCAAAAAGAAAGAACTGTGCTGGAAACATGAACGGGTTGAAAGGATCAGCCTTTTAATAGCCGGTAAGTCTAATATGTTCCACTCAGCTAATCAAGTTTCATTTGTTTTTTTGTATTACATTCAAGCAAAAGACTGTTTTTTCTGTTTACTTGTTTTTTAGAAGTCGTAACCAACATATAAAAGATGTATAAAATGCTTCCTTATTTATATTGAGTAAAAAGAGTTTTTTTTCTGGCCATCTGAAAGAGCTCTTTGACATACTTGAAGAGCTATTATCGTTTTCATTTGATAAAAACAGTATTTCATATATGAAAAGTATGAACACTATAGTGTATAGGATACGATAGTATACTAATAAGTATGACAAAAAAGTCGTTCCGACCCCGAGCAAAAAAACCTTTTCAAAAATGCATAATTTGCAGGGAACGGCATGGTAAAAAAAAATATCATTTGGTGTGTGTATTTAATATATATTGATATTATTATATACTGAGTTTCATAGTTTTTACTTGATGCTTTGTAAGCATTTCTATGTTTTTTTTTGTCGTGACGGTCGTATCGAAAAAGCGAATTTGAAAATCTATTTTGAAAAACAAATGAAACAACGTAATCAAAAAAAAAGATGAATAATCATAAAAACCATGTCAACTATGTAAAACTTAATAACATCAAAGTTCTCAATTATGGTTTTTTCATACTGTGTTGGTTAAATTTAAAGTTGATAACTATGATAGTTTTTTGATACTGTATTCGTTAAATTTAAAGTTTTAAGGCACCTTTTTTTTAAGTCTTTAAGGCACCTTTTTTTAGTCGAATTTGCAAATTTAAAAGACATCTTTTTTATGTCTTTTCATGACAAAATTAAGATTAAAAAAACCGTCTTTCGATGTCGAAAAATGATGTCTTTTAAATTTGCATAATCGATTAAAAAAAGGCGTCTTAAATGAGACTTTTTAAGACGTCTTTTCGACTTTTTTTTCCCTACTGGGTATTAAAGTATAAATATAGCAGCCTGCCTTTAGTTACCAACTTTAAATTTAACGAACACAGTATCAAAAAACCATAATTGAGAACTTTGATGTTATTAAGTTTTACATAGTTGACATGGTTTTTATGATTATTCATCTTTTTTTTTGATTACGTTGTTTCATTTGTTTTTCAAAATAGATTTTCAAATTCGATTTTTCGTTACGACCGTCACGACAAAAAAAACATAAAAATGCTTACAAAGCATCAAGTAAAAACTATGAAACTCAGTTTATATATATATATATATATATATATATATATATATATATATATATATATATATATATATATATATATATATATATATATATATATATATATATATATGCATACACACATACATACATATTAATATATCACATCGACCTGTTGCTGCATTTAAAAAACAAATAGACAATGTTAAGTAAACATCATACTTTAATTTAATATTTATAAAAAAATAATTTTCAGAAGTATCTTTTAAATATGCACATTCACATTAAGTATTTACATAAAAGATATAGTTTTATTTGTAAACATAACCTTACTTTACTTTCCTGCTCTCAATTTAAAATTGCTTAAAAAATGTTAATTTGGTTTAAATTGATATATTTTCAAACGGTTTAAACAATTGGTTTAAACTTTTTTATTTAAACCTATCGACCCTGGTTACAACAACAATAAAAAGTCTTTCGTGATTAGATTAGACTCAAAGTTGAGTAAATCGTAGATTATTTGATATGATTAAAAAACGCATACATTTTAAATTCAAAATGGAAAAAAAACAACAACAAATAAGAAAAATCATTGTCATTTTCGTAAGCAAGTTTAATTTAGCAACCAGCTTGTTCTTCATCTAAAATAAAAATACATTACTTTAAAAAACTAGCAAATAATAAGTGCTTAGGGTAGAAGGAAGAGGTAGTGCTTAGGGTACAAGGAAGTGCTTAGGGTACAAGAAAGAGGCTAAACTAAGCATCCTGACATGCTTTAAAATGACACAATAAGATAATATCTTATGGCGCCTTTTTAAACATTTTTACGCCCTTGTGTATTATTCCCACACTATATATTAAATAGTGTATGAACAATGCAAAAGGGCGTAAATAAAGATCTTCATAGCGCAATTTTCGATATAAACATACAACAAAGAGTTTTAAAACGAAACGATACAAACCTCTTTAAACGATTCAAATTTTCTTTAAAGTCACTTATCGAAATTTCAAAACTTCTATGTTTGTTTCGTCATAAGGTTTTTTGAACATATATTACAATTCGAAACACTTCGTATTTAGAAAACTATTAACGAAGCTTCGTTGATTATAATAAAATCGATTTCTAACATAAAATCAGATCGATTTTTGTCACATATTTAATAAGAGTTTTTCAAATCAATTTTTTTACGACTGCCTTAAAACCAATTTTTTATGATCTTTTCTTTCACTTAACACTCTGGTATTGTGGTTTAACCTCCTCCGGCTAATTGCCATATAGAGGTCACTTTATTAGAAGTCCGCAAAGACTGGTTGAGCTCCCGAAGGAGCGTCATACCCGCTCTACGGACTGAGAGTAAGGTGAGTTTGGGAAGAACGAAGACATGTTAGAGTAAAAGATAGAAGTAGTCAAGTTAGAAAGATAGTATAGAGTAAGCGGACAGGATTGCACACGATATTAGAGAGCGCAATACATACTTTTAGTTAGGTCACCTAACTAATGTACGCCGACAAAGTTGTGATTGGTGTTCACATTTTTTTTTTTTTACCGACCAACTAAAGACACCTGCAGCTGAAACCAGACTTACACAGGGCTCTAAAAGGCGGCTTTATTAGGGAGCCGAAATTCCACGTTTAGCCCACTTAAGGGTTTATTTGTTGCCACTCAGCCAAAACTGAGCAGCGCCCACTTAAGGGTTTATCTCCATTTAACGTCCGGAGTGGACGGATCACCTTAGGATTTCCGGACGTAGAAGGAGACTGAAAAAGCGACTACGCCAAGAAACTCTATCGACTGTCACGGTTTCGATCTTGTTCTGTTTCTGCTTTCTAACAACACCGTAACCAATTGAGAGATTGTTCGGAGCGGAAATAAAAATAGATACTACACTTGATCTTAGCCATTAAACCGAGAAGCGATTGGTGTTCACATTACATGAGCTCTTTCTCAACTTTCTTTGTCGTCCAAGGGAGTCAAAAAAGGTTCTAAACTGCTTGCGAGCATGTTTTATTATTGAAAAATATTCTTTAATTATCGAAAAATGTTTGTTTGTTTAAAATCGACTAATATTGCGCTTGTGGGTTTGTATCTTTATTTTAAATCTTTTTTTTAATACTTACTTTTTGAAATTTGTTTTTTTAAATCAACTTGAAAAATATAACTTACAACATAATTTTGTCTAATAATAATATAAAAATATATTACATATGAGGGAGGACGAGGGTGGCAATGTTATTTTACTTTTATATTAATTTTTTTAATCCTTTTTAAAAAATATATTCCGCTCCTTTAATCCAGGAGGCTTAATAGTCGCGAACTGGCATAAGTGCAAACTAGCATAAGTGCGAGGCGTTGCATAAGTGCGAAGTATAATAAGTTGCGTTATGCCAATATTGGCAATTTTACTCGGCGCACTTATGCAAGTTTGTACGTATCACATTTTGCACTTATGCCAATGTTTCCGAATTCTTTTGGCTCACTTATGCCAGTTTGCTCTTGTGCTAGTTTTTGTAACGGCTTTGGACTTATGCCAATTCGCATATATGCCAGTTCTTACTTACGCCATTCGCACTTATGAAATTCGCGCTTATTCAGTCGTACCATTTAATCACGAAACTCTCCGTTTCTTAAATAAGAATAAAAAGCTCGATTTAATTACAAATGCTTTGACATTGCTAAATATCGTGACTCTCTGTAAAGACTAAAAAGAAGATGATATGCTAAAAAATTTAATTTTTTAATCTTTTCTTTCACTTATATAATTTTTTTCATGACGCTCTAAAAAATAAACATTTTATAGAGAAATTTGCTTCTAAATTGGTATTGTGGTTTATCCTCCTCCGGCTAATTGCCATATAGAGGCTACATTACCAAGGTCCGGCTCCCCAAGGAGCGTCATAACCCGCTCTACGGACCAAGAGTAAAGTTAGTTTTGGAAGAACGAAGATATGTTAGAGTGAAAGACAGAAGTAGTCGTGTTAGAAAGACAGCATAGAGAAAGCGGACAGGATTGCACTCGATGTTAGGAGGTGCAATAGGTTGAAATAGGTATTTTGGTTGAAGGGTTGAAATAGGTATTTAGGTTGAAATAGGTATTTAGGTTGAAATAGGTATTAAAGCAATAGGTTGAAATAGGTTCTTTTCAAAAATTTATTTATTAACCTGAATTCAACTCAATTTGCTTCTAAATTGCTTACTATTATGTTTATATTTGTTAACTTAAAACTAACAAATCTTTTCATTTTAAAATAGGCTAATATTGCTTGTGGGCTTGTAATTTTTTTTTGATTTACTTTTTATTTTTTAAAAATAATTTTTTTTTATTTTTTAAAATTGGCCAAGATTGCTTGTGGGTTTGTATTTCTTTTTAAATCTTTTTTTAAATACTTTTTAAAAGAATTTTCTTTTTTTAATAAAATTAAAAAAAGAAAATTTTAAAAAAGTAACTTACAATATCATGTTAACTTTGTTTAATATTAATATAAAAATATACAACATCTGTGGAAGGACGCAGGTTGCAATGCAAATGAAATATTTGTACTTTATGTTATTTTACTTTTGCATAAAAATTTTTTATTTTTTAAAAGAGAAATATTCCTCTCCTTTAATCAGCAAATACTACGTTTTTTTAAGGATAAAAAGCTCGACTTAATTACATATGTCTAGATAAACGCATTACTAAATATTGTAACTCTCTGTAAAGGTTTTTCTCCAAATGGTTGGAAAGCAGTCAACAGCTTCGAAGCATCCTTGTCTATTTTGTGGATTAAAATCGCCAAATATGCTGAGAGCTGAGTCACATTCTCTAACTTCTCTGTGTGAGTGGTATAACAAATGGATGGCTGCTGAAGGAAACATTGCAAAAGCTGAAAAATTATTAATGTAGTTAATCCTCATTTATTGACTGAAAATATTACAAAGAAGATCTTAGAAATCGTTAATATACCAGGCTTACATATTTTGGGCATAGTAGACAAGTTGCTCAAAATAATTGAAAAAAACTTGTTTAAGGACACTAATGAAGGATTTAATTTTGTAAATAGTTATCTATATACAACTAATCTTGCCAGAGTACCTTATCAAGGTAAACACAGGTTAGAAGGAAATGGATCCAACGACTTTTTAAAAAAATTTCATTGCTTTCAAATTTATCTGGATGAGCACAATATTAAAGGTGGCAAATAAATGGAAGCTTTGAGAGACTTAAGCGATGTTGTTCACGGGTGTTTTGGGAAAACATTAAATCCAAACTACTCTGATTATATTAAAAGATTTTCACAAAGTTTCAGAGATCTTGGTTCAAACATTCCTTTAAAAGTTTATATAGTAGAGCATCATGTTGAAGAGTTTATTGTTATGAAAAGAGGAATGTTTGGTAAGTGCATATTTAGAAAATTAACTGATAACTTTTTAAATTTTAACATATAAAAATACTATTAAATGTTTTGAATTAAGGTTTAGGGTATTGGACTGAGCAAGCATTGGAATCATTCCATCAAGACTTCAAACAATTTTGGGAAATACCAAAGGAAGGACAACACAACGCCAATTTTAATGAAGTCTTGCGAAGAGCTGTCTGTGTGTACAACACAAGACATTTATAGTTAGACATAGTGTTTTTCGTAAATATTTCCTTTTTTTTATAAAACTATTTTATTTCGAATTTTTTCATTACAAAATGAAAAAATTTGAAATATCCAAAAGATGATTCTATATGGGCATTGTATTCCTGTAGACCTACGGTATCCTCTTCAATAAAATAGAAAGTTAACTTTTAGAAAGTGATAAATTAGTCAATGTTCTGACTAATTTATCACTTTTAAAAAGTGATAAATTAGTCAATGTTCTGACTAGAATGCCCAACTTATTATCAGAATTTATTACTAAATACAATCCTCAAAGTGTCAATCCACTAGATCAAACAACCAAACAAATTATATACAAATATTTATTCCATTTGCAGGGGTCTTAGGGTGAGTCAGAGGGGTATTGATCTCTAGTTAAAACATGTCTTAAAGCTTAGATTTCTCAAAAAAAAAAAACAAAAAATGATTTACTTTTTAATAGTTTGGGAATGTGCACATGGACTAATTTTAAAATCAAAAAAAAAAATTTCATGGGATATGATATAAGGTCTTAGGTCACCTTCAGGGTACCCGTGCTCTTAGTGAATAACCAACGTGCCTTTGGTGACCGCATTAAATCCAGTTTCATTCAAATAAATAAGTATTTAATTTGAAATTCCATTAATTTTGTTTGCAAATGCATAACGTGCATCAATAACTCGTATTGAGTCTCATTCTCCTAGCACATGCACAACTTTTTCATACAAAGATTGTTTTCTTGTACGCATAATTCAATAATATTTCTTATTTGTGCGTTTATAGTTCTTTTACCTCGTTTTTTTTAAAATCAGAAAACGATATGAATGCAGTCATGTTGTCGAATTCTCATTTGTTTAACTTAACAACAAGATTTCGAACTGTGCGCTTAGATAAATCAACAAAAGTGAAAATGCTTGTTGTAGATTTATTTTTTCAACTAAATCCTTAAGAATTTCAACGTGCTACTCCAGCCTTTCAGCCTTCAGATCGTCCTCCAGAATTTAAAAAATTAGGGATAACAAATGCTGCCTTTAAACAAAACAAGACTCTGTTAACAACTTATTAAATAGTTTTGATAGTATAGCTCTGGTAAACACATCTGCAAGACAATAACAGGTATATTGTCCGGACCACAAGCTGTAGATAAGTTTAAGCAGCAAATCACTTTAGATAAAGAAGCTGGAGTGATATGAATATCAAGCAATGGATCAACCTGTTTGTGGGGTTTCAGTAAATTTCAAAAAACATTCAGTAATTGTTTTAGCATCTCGGACTTTAATTGAAGGATAATTTATATATTTGGGAGGAAGATTTAAGGAACAAATATAATAGTAACAATTTTGCAACTCATCCAACATTTTGTAGGCGACCTTTTTGCAATTTAATTATAGAAACATCACAGATTGTTGCGAAATTAATAAAATTCATGTATAGGAAATGTAAACTTTGTAAAAACAAAGAAACTCCAATATGCTTAGGGATCGTCCACTAATTGAAGAACGCAAAATTCATTTAAAAAATGGAAGTGGGGTGATCATAAGCTTTTTTGCGCAGTGATATTTTATGAACTTAAACGCTATTTTGATTTTTGGTTTAATTTATGACTCTGCGAGCAACACCTTACTATCTTTTTTTTTTTTTTTTATTAGTAATAGACAATCCCTTTTTTAAAAATTTTGATGAAAACAAAAAAATATCTTACAACAAATGGACTAAAAGGCTAATCAAGGAAAAAGAGAAATCGATTTTATGTACAAAGCAATATTTATCCCAAACATTAAAAATAAAGCCAAAATCTAGCAATTGTACAATTTAAAAAATAAAACAATGAAACCCATTTCTTAAGTTCAAACTATCAGTAAGTTTACAAATTAAAAAATTACATATTACCAATCACACAATATAATGACATTCCCCATTTCATTACTAAAGCAAGACATGCACTGCATTATAAAAAAGTCACTAAAAGCAATTCATACTCATGACAAATACAACAAGGATACCTCAAAAAGACTAAAAATTCTAGCATGCTCCTTTTTATTTATACTCCTTTTTATTTTCTTATATATATTATGACAAATTTATTACTTAATGAAACCAATTGGTATTTTTTTAAATAAAAAAAATTAATTTTTAATTTTTTTTTTAATAAAAAAATAACGTCTAAAATAACAATAAAAAAAGCTGCATAATTAAGATACCTAGCTTACGTTGAACATTTTTATAAATGTGTTTTGCAATTTCTAATGATTTATCTGCTTGATCAGAGTTATAACTTTCATGAGGAATCTTCGGATACCTCCATTGATCTGGGTATCTCAGTTTTAAAGAGGAACCAACAAGATATTCCAACTCAGAAGCCCAATTTTGCAATTGAGCGTCCAAACCTCTAGCATTTTCAATTAGTGAGCATGACTTGATACTTTTAAAATCAATTAAATATTGGGCAGATTTTAATGACTTTTCGGCAGCCTGAAAAAAGTAAACAATAATAAATTTTTTAATGAACTCAAAAGATCATTCTAAATAATAGCAATAATAATATTAGTAATATATCGGTTATTAGTAATATTAATTTTTTCTTAAAACCTTTTTTTGGTATTTTATTTTTCTCAAATCTCTTTAATCAGCACTTGGTTCTATAATTTTTTTTCCGTACTTTACTAAAACTAAGTTTTATTCAAGCTCAGCATACTGGTTATGAGTTACAAAATGTTAATAAAATAAAATATTCATATTATTATAAAATATATATACTATAATTGTTCTTATTCCCCTTCACATACATACACATTTATGCATAAATAAAGTGAGTATTTACTTATGCATATATATAAATACATACACACATAATAAATACATAAACACTTATTAAATACATAGAAAAAACTCGTTTTTTGTTAAACTAAAGCACCCAAAATAAATTAAGCTTTGTCAACACAATAAAGCTGTTATATGTTCTATATATATTATATATACCATTAATACACCCTTTGTATATTAACTAACATATACTATTAAATTATAATTATTAAAGTCACTTAAATGTCAACAACCTAAAAAAAACAACAATATTTTTAAAAGTTTATAACTTATGTACCCTAAACCACAAACTGATTTCATGATTGATTCTAATCAATCTTAAATATTTATTCTAAATTATTACTTATTAGTCAATATTTTTTTATATTCAATATTTATTAGACAATATTTCGTTCTGAAAAATGAGACACTTTAATTAAACAAACAAGCATTGTATTTTGTTAAATATTAATCTTTCTTACTGTAAGTCTAATTATTTCAATAAAGTTTTTTTTTCAATAAGTTTTTTGTATTTATTTTCTAAAAATAGAAATACTCCTCATAGCACTCAATTGTGTTAAAATACTTTCAAGTGATGTTGGATAAAATACCAAAATTAAAAAAAAAAATTGTCTTGCTGAAATATCATCAAAAACTTTGAATAAAAATAATGCTGATTAAAAAAATGTTTAATGATTATATTACAATTTAATTTCTGATTTTGAGTTTTATCAATGTTTTTATATTTACAATTTTTTTTGTTTTTCCTAAAAATATTTTTAAAATTTAATAAGGTCTTTTCTAAAATTTCATTGAAACTCTGATAATTGCTTGGTAAATTCATCATCATCATCATCATCATCATCATCATCATCATCATCATCATCATCATCATCATCATCATCATCATCATCATCATCATCATCATCATCATCATCATCATCATCATCATCATCATCATCATCATCATCATCATCATCATCATCATCATCATCATCATCATCATCATCATCATCATCATCATCATCATCATCATCATCATCATCATCATCATCATCATCATCATCATTATCATCATCGTCATCATCAAAATCTTGTAAATTTTATTCAGATTAAATTTATCTAGTAAAATTATAATATATCTAATAAATGAGACCCAGTTTTTTACTAATAATAACACAGGTCTGCAACAAAATAATTTTAAAAAGTTGTTTGAAATTTGATGACTGTTTTTTATGCATTTCTCAGTGCTGATTTGGAAAATGCAATCCATTTTTTTCTATCACGTTAGGTTTTCTATATATATATATATATATATATATATATATATATATATATATATATATATATATATATATATATATATATATATATATATATATATTTATTATACACTAAAAAACTGATCTAAAAAATGAAAGACTCATTGGCATTTTGGCTTAAAAACTGATCACAAAGGCAGACCTGAAATAGCACCAGCTTGTTGTCTGCACCCACATGGGTGTGGCAAAAATTGGAAATGAAATAGAGCACCTAAAACAGAATGCGACACAGAATATGAGAAAGCAGCCAAGACATTCTGTTTAACCATATTAAAATAGGAAAAAAGAAAATATTCTATGCAAGTCTGTAACTAAAAAGAAAGACTATCTATATTCTTGTAAATTCAAATCCACACAAAAAACTATTAGTGATGAAGCGTTTCAGATCATATCAACGCATTTCCGGTTGAACCATCACACTACTGTCGTCAAAGAACAGAAAAAGAATATTTTGAAGTTTTTGTAAATTTTTATAACATTTATGAACTTTACTTAACCTATTGTCTAAAAAAAAATATTTTCCCTGATAAGAAGCAATGTATATATTTGATCATCACTTGAACATTGAATTTCAAAAGCAAATTAAAAAAAAAAATGTTTAAGTATATATTTGCTGTAGACGTTGCATTTTATAAAGTTATTTTAAAATAATTTATTTTACTGTTAAAACATTTATGATTTGTATTTTATGTTTTTAAATAGGCTTACTAATATATATATATATATATATATATATATATATATATATATATATATATATATATATATATATATATATATATATATATATATATATATATATATATATATATATATATATATATATATATATATATATACTTTTTAGTGGATTAATCAGAGGAGATTGATTTGCTTATTAAGAATTATTAAAGAATGCTTTGAATGCTTGAACAACCAAATAAAAATTTAATTTCTAATTCTAATAACATAACATCTAAAATATTTTGCACAGAAAAATGACAAATTTTTCTTTTTTTTTGATTTTATGTTATTCGAATTTATAATTAAAGTTTTATTTGGTTGTAAAGATCTTGGTATATACTTTAGATATTATCTAGTTTTTCTGTTTAATTAAATTTTAGACAAAATAGCTTATTTATATAGTTAATATGTTAATATAAATAGATATGTACTATGCAGTACTTTAATAGCCAAAATATACATTCATCTTGCAAAATATATATATACAAAAGTTTGTATTACTTTTTTTACTGAAAATGGAGGTAGAGCAGAGTAATATTGTATTTGATAAAAAAGTGTGTATAATATTATATATTACATCTCCAAATCAAGCTGCAGTAACTTAGATATCTGCAATTTAAATATTTTAAAACAATTTATGTTTAACTGTGGTAGCCTGTATGCAAAATTAATACAAATCATAGTTGTAGTTGTAATGAAGACAAAATTACCTACAGCATTGAATTTATGGAACATAATTCTCAAATAAAACCAATTTTCATTGATTTAGTAAAATATTCTCTTGATTTTTTATAAATAGCCATCTTTCATGAGCAACAATTTGTTACAAAATTGGTTTTCATCCACCACTAGCTGATTTTTTACAAACATTCATACGCTATAAGTGATTAAACAAATTAAACTTATCAATTTCAATATTTTTTATTAGCAAAATATTCAACATATGGACCATGGACCATATGTTGAATATCTTTGATGACCATATCATTGTTTAACTTTATCAGAGCTAATGTATGAATGCTTAGAGAGAAGCATTCAATGAAAATTTTTATTTTTATTTACTGTACCATCTACACCTGGATTAATACACCTACTTTAACTTTGATAACACTGAAGACACTTGCTAATGCATTAGTATATACCAAAGCCTTACTAATGTAAAGACATGTGTAAATGCTGTGGTGTACTCCAATGTGTCAGCATGTTTCACAAAAATTATTTCAGTGAGTTTCAAGCAAAAATCTGAACCTTTTTAAACAAAGTATATTAGTGCATGGTCTTTTGTTATCATCTTTTATAATAATAATTTTGAGTGAAATTCTTATATTAATTAAGCAGTAATTATCTGCTTAATCTGTTTTAAATTGTTTATTATATTTGATGATAATATGACCTATTCATATGATCAATTTATGTAATTTATTAATAGATAAATATAATTTGTTAAAATTATTAAAAAAAAAATCTAAAATAAAGAAAGAAAATACCAGGTTTATTTAAATTTTTTTCTGTTAAACCATTTTTTTTGTAGATAATATGTTAAACTTGTCTTTTCAATTTGGTGGAACTTAATGTCACCAAGTACTAATAGTATTAGTAATGTTCTTTATGTTGTGTTATTTTAGATGTCAATTTTGTTTTAAATTGACTAAATTATTTAGTTCAGTATTATTTAGATAATAATAAAAATAAAAAAAACATTTAGTTTTTTAAAAAGCTTATACTTTACATTATTTGTTTATATTTAAACAAACAATCATTAATTTAAAAGTTGAAAAATAAAGGATTTAATAACAAAATTTTATCTGTATTTGCTTATTTGTATTAAATATATAGACTTTTGTATTAAATAAATTCTCTAATAAAAGTTTATTTTATTTATATAACTTTATAAATTTAGTATTAGTGTTTTTGAAATAAAACTTAAGAAAAGTTATACTTTATACTTTTTTTAGACTTTTGTGTTAATGTTATGATGGTTACATGTATAAATCTATATAATTTAAATGTTTTTTTTTCATTAGTTTTTTTGCATCTTTGTTGAGTTGTTTTACACTTTAGATTATTGTTTGATTTATTCTTTGGACTGCAGTTGCATTATTGTTACTGTTAAAAAAAAAATTATTAAACTGTTTCTTTTTAACACACTGAATAAACAATTTACTCTTTATAATTTTTTTACTTATGTTCTAAATTTATATTTTTTTTTATTCTACAATATATAACATAGACTATTTAAAATATCAATATTTTTATTCAATAACTTTGTAGTTTTCTTAATTGATTTGTTTAGCAGGTGTAAAGCTATTGAATAAAAGTTAAGTAATTTTTTTTATTAATAAAATAAGGTTAATGTTAATTAATTGCTCTAAGAATAGAAATTTTACTAAATGTTAAGTATTATGAATGTTATTAGTAAATGTTAAAAAGTAAAACAGGACTTCGATAGAAAGCTTTAATTTTTTTTTTCAATAACTTTTGGAATCTTTTAATTAAGACTGTTGTTTGTTCTATGCCTTTATTGTATACAACTGTAGTCTAGATTCAAAGTTCTGTTGAGTAAAATAAAACAGACTGCTATATTTTATGTTTTTTTCTAATTTTCACTTATAAAGTTTAATAAAG